GTGGCTTAATTCAACCCCGGCGAACACTTACGGCTATTTTGCAGTTGTTTGTCTCTGGCACAAACATCGCAAACAACAACAGGGCCCTCAAAGAGCATTGCAGTAATTTTACCTTTGAATGCTTTCGGTTTGAACTGCTTCCTTTTGGTTGACATTTTGGTCGGCGATGCCTGAAAGAGTCAGGTGACGACTGCTAGCACGCAACGACAGATGTGGGCGAACAGGCGAATCGAAGCAGATTCATCAGAAAGCGCGGACGAAGAAGGGGCTGGGGACTCTCTCTGGCAGAGGCGATATGATAGCTGGCCTGGGCACCGCACTACACTGAGCGTCGAATCCCCCGGGAATCGCGCTTATGGCCGATGTAGTCTGTCTCCGCACAGCAATTCCCCCGGGAGCCGGGGCTCTTCCCTGCCTGCCCTTCTCCGTTACTGTGTTGATTAGTTTATTTGAGATGCGGAGCGCCTGGATGCGGCCCACTGTCCTCCTCCGTCCAAATTCCAGTGAGACCTCGTCGCCACAACAGCCCCAGCCAGCAACCAACCAACCAACCACGCTGTGTATTGCCAACAGAGGTACTCCCCACCACTCGCACGCTTCCCACTGACACGTCACAATGAGCAATTGAGCTGCGCAAGAAACAGTATAGTGCAAGCAATGACGCGCTTATGCTTTTTCGCAAAAATATGAAAGCATTATATAAACACTTACGGCCGCTGCGTTTGCATATTTGTCGATGTGTGTGTGTGTGTGTGTGTGTGTGTGTGTGTGTACGTACACGTCTACCGTCGTGCGCACGTATGTGTGTGCGCACACGTATATGTATGTTTGTATACGTGGGTGTACATATGCGTATGCACTTTTTGGTAACTCTATGTGTGTGTGTTCAGGTACTTCTCCGGGTTTTGTAATGAGAAAAGCAAGAATGCTGAAGCTTAAAGGAGGTCACCCTTCCTGTCTGTCTATGTGCGACTTCGGGATTTAACAGCTTCCAGATAAGTCTACATTTCACATAAAAGAAAATGTTAGTATCGTTCTAGCTTTAGAACCAGGAAAGGTGGAAAGCTAAAATTCCAGGAACATATTCTCTGTGCGTGCGCAGTCCCGGAAAAGCCAGCTCTCAAACGCGCTCAGGCAGGAAATTTTCCGTCCAAAAACTCGACAAAACGGAAAGCTTGAATGAGAAAGCTTAAACCTCTCTCCCTCCCCTCTTCACCATTTGATTTCGGAAACCGAACAGTATGAAAGGCCGAAATTCTGCGAAGACGCTTTATGTTCATGTCAAAAGTTAAAAAGTCAAAAACCCCTTTTGTGTTTCACTCTGCGTACGAGGCTAAGGCACTCAAAAAGTAGCCCAATTAGTAACAAAAATGCCAACAACTACCCGTTAACAAGACTCTCGATGGTTCCCTCTTCTGAAGGTTGCTTACAAGCAAGCTGATGGCTTTGAAAATTCCATACACAGTCTCGAAAATTTAAATTAAACTTCCACCTACAGACATGTAATATGAGTCGCAAATTTTCTTGTTTACGCATAGACAATGCAAAGAGATTAAGAAAAGACTCTTTCAGAGCATTTCGACGATTTTTGCGCACATCAGACTGCAAAGCAGTAACATTCTTAACAGCAAATGTCCGGTGTATGGAACTGCGTACACAGCTATTGCAGTGCAAGCTGTTCTTTCATTATATATTGCTATAATGATCTTTCTGAGTTACTAAAGTACTTCACACGCTCTAATAGTATCAATATTTGAGGAGGAGTGCTGGTGGAGGTACAGCCAGGGATACTTTGAAATGGCCTGGCTAAGACTTGCCAAGTGCTTCTGTTAGTAAAACTTCTGAGACTGTCTTTCAGGAGATAAAACGAGCGTCAGTATCTCCGGCGTGAACACGAGGAGATGCAGCCTGGTGCTAACCAAGGCAGCTGCTATACCGAAGAACCAAAGTATGAGTTAAAAGCAAATTCAAAGTATGTTGAATCGATGAAAATCGCATTGCGAAAGCAACAACTCTGTGTTTGCAGAGAAAACTGCTGCTGAGTAACAACTGGAGGTATGCAGCCCAGGATCGAACAGTCTGGCATAGCTACGCTCGACGTATGGGAGCATCCTAGTAACATCACTAACAGGGGAATTTTGCATTGATAGTTCGAGCAGTCTTGATATTCTTAATGATAGCTCTTGCTACTATCCGGGATGAATGTCGCGACGCGCAGCTCGGAACGAGGGCCTCACAGCGTGGCATTACCGTCGACCTACCGAATAAAGGCCGACCAAGCACAGTTCGAAACAGCCGAGCTTTTGGAGGGACGAAACTCGGGGGCAGAAAACTGCGCACCGCGGCTGCACACGGGGAAAAGTACGAACAAATCAGCAAAATCTGTCTGGAGCCGCGCAGACGGGTCGCTTCCCCGTCGATCGAATTGCTGTCGGTCCTGGATGAAGAAGCTTCCACCGTGGGATGAAGCCCGGCGAAGCACCCGAGGTGGTACCCTCGCTTGTAGGCCTTGCCACCCAAACAACCTCCCCTCACCCTCCCTCCGCTGCCACTCTCTCATCCCGACACACAGTCCCTGCCTGCCTTGTACAGTAACCATCGGTACTGCCGTCGCTTACAGCATGCAAAAGAGGATGGATGGCTGGGAGAAATTCGTTTCTTCGAATGAGCACATCGAGGATTATTGTTTTTCCCGCTGAGGGAGAGGGAAAGGATGACTGTACCGTGAGAAAGGCTCCGAAATCGCTCGCAGAGGAAAGAAGGAAAATTTGAAAATCTGGATGAGCTAGCTAAACACCCAGGTCTTTGGGATCTTATGTTACCGATTAAAATGATGTACATCCGAAACTTGGCATAACTATGACAAGTTCTTTGGCCCCGAATTGCACGCATTCAGTTGTTATCCACTACCTCCAAAGCACATGTGCCCTATCTCGGAGCATATATGTTTTGGAGGCAGTGAATGCATTAGTTTTTACTTTCCTGCCTCGCTCATCGCTTTTACTTTCGCGTGTGGTCGTTATTGCCAGAAGAACACGAAACTTAGGCTTCGTGGGTCAACCTGGTTGCTGCAGTCGGCTTAGACACTGGAATACGAAATTTTTTAAAAGGTGCAAGATAGAGCTAGAGGATGCAAGCCTCAACCAAAATAATAAGTCACGCCGCTCATCATTTAACCAGTGCAACCATGCGTTTGCGCATTTTTGATTAGCGGAGGAATGATTACTGATAAGAATATTCATTGCTTCACAGTTTAATATGTGAAAAACCTTCTGATTCTTGTGCCAGGTTTTCCAAAACTTTCACATATCCATAAACAGGAACTGAATTTTTAGCGTCACACATGGGCATGAACCATGTTTATAGAATTACAGCTTTCTACCTGTTTTGGTCCCTGAATTCGAAGGGCTGAAACACTCTTGCAACTTCAGCCTTTAAGTGTTCGTGAGGCGCAAGTGTGCGCGAAAGAAGAAACAGATTTCTAAGGTCGCACATGAGCAGATAGCATCTTCCTAATATTTCAGCTTCCGGTTTCCCCTGGGAAAATCCACATGAAATTTTACGCGTCCCTGCGCAAGACGCAGGCATAAGTGGAGCTGAATTTCTAGGATCGCATACTGACAGGAAAAATCCTCGTAAAATTTCAGCTCTCTGTCTTGACTGATTCTACAGTCAGGAATTTTCCCGTGCGAGAGTTCAACTGTTAGCACATGAGAACCGCATTCGAAAGCTGTGCTTAATTTCTAAGATTGGATGAAGACAGTAAATATCCTCTTTAAGTTTCAGCTTCTTAGATCTATTGATTGCTGAGTTGAAAATGCTGGAAGTAATTCGAACATATATACAAACAGGGTCTCAGCAACACGCTTTTTGCTATAGTGCTAAACATATACCGTCGAGAGAAAACCTAAATACTGAAATTTTAGAAGAATGTTGCCAATACGCAACCCCGATAACTAGAATTTAGCTTTCACGTACGGACATGTAAAGGTTTTGGATGGAAATTTTTTGTCCGCGAGTAAATGACATCATATTTCGATTTACTGATTTACAAAAGTCGAGTCCACGCTTTCATACTTCCCACGTAACGATTTTGGGAACCAATTACAAAGCTGAAATTGTACGATGCTCCTTGTTCATACACGACCAAAGAATTTTGATCCGGCTTTAACGTACGCCTATATCTCAGTAGGTACTTGTCAAAGTTCACCCTAAGACACTGTTCACATCATGCCGACTCGGAATGCAAAGCTACATTTTTATAAGGATGTTTGCTGTCCATGTGAGGAAACGCGGATGTAGTTTTCGCATATGCCTGTGAAGTTCAAATTCACTGTCCATGAGAAAATGAATGACCACTTGGACGACTTCCGTAAAGATGGCCCACATGCACCGAACTGAAGATGTGCTACTCAAGATCGATGGGTGTGAAATAGCTGCGCCTGACGTGTTACAGCTTTCCGGTGACATAACTGATATGGCATCTACTTTACAATACGGCGCTGCCGGCTTTCGCTTGCGAATGCGCTCATACCTATGGCTTCTTATTATTTTTTATTCTTTCCAGCACATAAAAAAGACCAGAATTCCGGATTTATGGTTTACCGCCTCAGAGTTATCTGTATTTGCGCTTGCAAATTGCGGGAGGAGGTAGAGGGGTCTGAAAGCTTGTTAGAGATGATTTTTGCAGCGAAAAAAATTCCGAGCCCATTGTCCCAAGTTTTTTACACGATGTCTTCTGAAGTTACCCAATTGACCTGAATTTAGCATCCCAGAATACCGGAAACTGTTCCGAGATCTTGACTCCGAGATAATAAAGAGAAGCCTCCCATTTCTGTTCGCTAGAACATGATTGTACCTGCACAGATACAAGTTTACGTAGATGTAGGTTCATTATACTGCATATGTTATTAATAACTTACTTTCAGTGTTTTGCGTTAAAAAGTATGATAATTTGCAGCTTGCAGTAAATAGCTTCGCGCATCAAGTTATGTGCAAGCACGCGTTTTTTTCGGTTTTCCTAGCAGTTGCTTGTTTTGAAGAACGTTCACTGCTTACAGTTTTTCCTGAAAATGTATTGACCTTTTTTTACGAATATTATCGTTGTGTTAGCAGGGTCTTTGTGGTTTTTATTACAGTCCTGACTGTGTAAAAC